TATATATATATATTTGTATATTTTGGCTTCTTGATGCAAACTATTGGTTCAAAAATTAGAGTTTCCACTTCAACAAAATTTTATATTCTTTTTTTAGAGCATGTTGTTTTTGCAAGCCATGATGATGCTCTTCATCCTATGAGACTTTAACCATTCAACTAGACTTTGGTTCCTTCCCAAACTTATTTACCTTATTTGGTTTTCCTAAGAAGATTCATTGATTTCTACATCTTTTTGGCTAGCTATTTTAACTAATAAGAACATATATATGGCTGAACAAATACCCTTTGATCTTTCTACACTGCTTTGCTCTTCGACTGTCTTTACTAGTGGCAATGCCCGTTACTCCAAGAGACTTAACCATTCTTTTGGACTTTGGCTTTTTGTATGATTTTCTTGAGATGATTTTCTAATTTTTGCATATTTTTGGTTGGTTATGGTAACCCAAATCCTATTTCTACACTGCTTTGTCCTTGAGTGTCTCTTTTCTTCCTTGTTTCTGTGGAGATGCGTGTATCTTGTCTTTAGCCCTGTTTGGCCTCTCATTAACTATGATGTTGCAACTTATTCTCGTAAGTAAAATTTCTCTAAATGGAGCTCTAGATGTGATTTGATAGGTCTTGGGCTGTAATGTTTTTTGGTTTTTTGATTGCCTGCTCTTTTGCTCTTTGTTCTTCTTTTTACTGGCTGTATTTATGGCTTTTTGATGATGTAATTAAAATGATTTCCCCCCCAAAAATCCCTGCAAATTTGAAAAAATAAAACTAGTCTATTTAATTATCTTAAAAAAATATACCATGAAAAATATAATATATAAATAATGCATTATTTATATATATATTTTTATCATTATTTGATTCAATATAAAACAAATGCAATAATTCATATTTTTTATTTGAGCTGAAGAAAAAAAATTAAAGTAAAACATGTCCTCCAACTGTAGCAATAAATGGCTGCGATCAACAGAGCCACAGGCGATGGGTAATCACTGGGAGGCCAGCAATATGCATCAATGAACGGAAACAGTGCATTTAAAATTCACTCAAAATCACACGAATGTCAATTTCAAACGCAGTACGCATCAAATAAATATGTTTAAAAGCTAAAAATAAGAAGAAAAATAATCCTAAAAAGCATTAAAATGAGAAAAAAAAAACATCAGGAGTTAAAAAAACTGTTGATTCACACAAGGATTAAAATGAGAGTCTTAAAAAAAATAGGATGCAGAGAGGATTAGCGATGCCAAAAGGAAATAATGTGATGTATTACTTAAATTTTCTCTTCCTTCTTATCTTCTACACTTTATCAGAATAAAAAGTAAGCTTATAGTACAAAATTTTATAGACTATTTCATAAAGCTCAAACACAACATATGTAAAAAGTATAATTATATTGAGGGACGACTGATTACAGAAGAGGACATGCCTCTCTGCAATACTAAGTGAAAAGTCTGATTACAAAACAGGACATGCCTCTCTGCAGAAGAGGACATAAAGTCTGTCTTGATTTTAGATTTTGGATCCCTCTGATGATTTCTCAGATTTTTGTGCCAAATAATGCTCGAGCATTTCATCATCATCATCATCATCTGCACGATACACGAAACATTTCATTAGGCTTCTTCATAATTCTACAAAGAAAATGATTACAATGGTCTTCTAACTATTTGCAAAGGGTCAAAATTAATCCAGACTATGTAAATGACTATTTAAATAGAGGGGAAATTTACACATGCAGCACATAATTCTTATGTATTTACATACCTCACATCTAAACTTCCATGTTTACGTACATAACACTTCTGTGTTTTAAATCTATATATGAAAGATGTATTGCACTTTTAAAAAGTGATAATAGTGCTATTTTTATGTGATTTTAAATATTTGAGTTTTGTATGTGTAAATATGAAAGTTTAGGTGTGAAAGATGTAATAGATATGAATTGTGTGCTATGTATGTAATGCTGCCCAGTCAACAAGATTTAACTGCCAATTTAACTAGTCAACGGATTTTTAACTACTCTGGGAATTGTGCACCGGATGTAGGTGAGTTGGTGGCGGCTCTAAGTAAGTCCCCTCTCGACCCGGGTTCGAATCCTCGACTAGAGGGGATTCGAATTTGCACATGAGATTGGTTGGGGGGTCCGCCCTTCAGCCAATCTTTAAATATATTTATATAATAAAAAAATTACTCCGGGAATTAAATTGGTCTTTTACATAGTTTGGGATCATTTTAGTTTTCTGCAAAGAGTCAGGAGACCATTTTGGTTCTTTTCTCAAATTCAACCACACTGCAAAAACCAGCAACATGATTCAAATCAGAGCTTAATCTGCAAAATATATAAGGTCCGACCTTCAAAGTCATCATCAAAGTCGATTTCTTCTTCTTCCTCAGAATCCTCGGTAACTGTAGCTGCACCTTTCTGGAGAGCAAACAGAAGGTCCAGGAATGAGATGGCAGAATTAAATTTTAATTATATTAATGTTAAAGTGCACTGCAGATAGTTAGACATCAAAAATCAAAATGTGACAACAATAGATCAGAAGGAACATTTATATATACACCACTCAAATCCTACGTATTTACATAACTAACAACCAAACTTGAAGTTTTACATACATATCACCATTAATATGATATGAAAGATTTGGGTGGTATAACTGTAAAAAAGCAAAATTTAGGTGTTATATATGTAAATTCATAGGAATTGAGTGGTTTGTATGTAAATGCCCCTATCAGAAATATAATCGGTGAATAAACCGAAGAGCAGAGAGCAGAGCAAAAAATTATCAGAATGGTATAAAGCAAAATATTACCGTTGCAGCTCTTCCACTCTCAAACCATTGCCTTCCAGTCAGCCTTCTATCCTTGGGCACAGTTAGAGCTGACTCTGGCATTAACCTGCACACAGTTGCATAAAATTGACTTCTAAACAATCAATGGTTTAACAAATCTTTGAAAAAATTTAACATCATTGGATAATAAGAAAATTTTACTGAAGTTAGTATCTAAAGTTCGTTTTAAGTTATTAGAGAAGCATTTGTGGATCATTTACTAACATAAAAATAAATTTTGACGCAACAAAAGAGTTCAAAATCATAGTTTACATAAAAAAGGGGAAATTTACATACATACCACAAAATTCTTATGCATTCACATATATAACACCCGAAGTTTGATATTTACACTGGTAACGCCTTCGTGCATAAGCCTATGCATAAAAAGGTGTATTCGACTTTTAAAAAAATAATGATTGAGGTAATTTTGATATGATGTTAGGGATTTGAGTGGTATGCTTGTAGATATGACTGTTTAAGTGTTTGATACACTAGAATTGTGTGGCAAAAAACAGCATTAAATTCATCTTATTTTTTTATAGTTATGGATCTGATTATAGTAATTAAAAATGAGATAATTTTGAGCGTACAATTTCCGTATGACATAATTTCACTCACTGATATCTATGTTGAACAATTGAAAAATTAGAATAATAGAACCAATGTTTAAAAGAACAGAGGCTCAAGATTTAATATAAAAAAGACTGAAAACATAATATAAATTTTATTTGGAGTAAATTTGAGAATTGAGAGTTAATAATACTAGAAGATCATAGGTGTCGTAGGCTTGAGCATTTTGGATTTTTTATAAAAGAACTAGGTTATATATGAGACTCTAACTTCTAGAGTCATAAGTAAGTAAATTAGGAGAGGTCTCAATTGTACCATGCTGGACTTGAGGTGCAATTTATAAAACTATGATAGCTCAACTATATTCTATGTGCATCTTAAATTTTGGAGCATAAAAAGATTTATAAATGCTTAAGTTGGTTGTATCAATAATCTATGTGAATTTTCCTAGAAGATTTCTTGATAATCAGTTTGACTTTAGGGTGGAGCCGAGCTATAATCGATGTCAATGAGCTGAAAGGATGGATCATATATTGTTTTTTTTTTTTTTTAATTAAACTTCAAGCCAATCTCAGATCAAATTAACTTTCAAGATGCACATTACATATTTTTAACAACATGATATATAAAATTATACATGTACACATGTACAAAGTTATTACAAAAAATTACCTAGCCATATAATTACGCCGTTAACTTTTCCCATTCGTGGAAAAGATACAATCCTTAGAAATAGGATTTTTTTTATCAATTTTTTTAAACCCATAACAACTTGATCTTAAACGAATGATTCTAACCATAATCTTGGTTGCCATATATGAACTAATAGAGTAAAGTGCTACAATAGTCCCCTGACTATTTACATTGGGTCATTTTAATCCTGGAGTTAATGTACTACTTAGAATTTTTTAATATGAGCTGAAATAATCCCCAAGAAGGACTATTTTAGCCCGTTTAAAAGAAACTAGGGACAAAATTGATACATTTATAGACCTTGGAACTAAGATGACCCACAACAAAAATTGAGAGGGACATATTCACACTTTTCTCGATACTAGTATCTACAGACAAGGCCAACCCTTGCTTCCCACAAGACGTCTAACTTTCTCCTCAATGCTTCAAACTCCAAGTAGGTTCAATCCTGATTGCTTCGTTCGTATAGCTTTCTCTGCAATTTAGTTTGGTAATTAATTGGAAAGCTTTATAATATACCTAGTAAAAATGGTAAATAACCTAATTTATTCTTATATTCTTTGTTTGCTAGGGTGTTGTCTGTAGCATGTATTAAATGTCGTTGCAGTGTTAGTTCCGAATGTTCTTTGCTAATATATATGCATAAAATATTTTTAACTCCTATATATGAGAGCGTAGACTTTAGAAAGAATTGATTTGTTAATTTCTCCACTATGTAAACCTACATGTTGTTATCTTTGTGAAAGTTATATTAATATATCTTTTATTTGCTTTTTTGTTTTTAGAGTTCACGAGAAAATTTTGCATGTTTAGCCGCACGAGAAAATTTTGCATGTTTAGCCACCACGCCAGTCTTGTTTTGCTAGTCTAAACATAAATATAATATTTTTAAGTACATTTGGGACATATAACTTTAAATTGATTTGATTTCTTGACCTATTTCTTTTTGTTTTTAATTCAATTTGTAGGGAACTCCACACTTTTAGTGAGTGTGTGTGTGTGTGTGTGTGTGTGTAGAGAGAGAGTGAGAGAGTGAGATATTAGAGTTTCTAGGAATCCGTAAAGGATATTTGTAAAAAGGAAACTTGTAAATCGAATTGGCCCAGACATAAAGTGGTGATGCAAGAAATATGTAAATATTACAATAAGCATAAGAATTTAAATGTAGTTTGTAATGTGATAAACTGCATTCCTTATGTTTATCAAGTAATGTCCAAAAATGGAAAAATAACTAGGATTGCATTGATCTTGTTATAATGGGTGTATGATTGTATAAGGTGTATAATTTGTAAATATGCGCTTTTTAATTCTGCTTTGTTTTACTTTCAACTTAGAACTAGTTCTATATCAAACTAAGGCGGCTTCAAATTGATCCATTTTCAACATTGAATAGGTTTAATCCATGATTTGATTTTGTTACTACTGTTTCATCAAATTCAATTTCAAGCAGATACTAAATTGGCACCAAGTCAGGCATTCATAGCCCTAGCGGGAGGGGCCAATATGAAAATGTTAAGAAAAAAATTTGCAGTAAAACTAAAAAAATATTGAATAAGTAACTATACAATAAATTTCAGTGATAACATGCGTTCAAAATATGACAGGGAATAAAAATTTAGGTGGTTTAAAAATATGTAATGGAGATAGAAGAGATGAGATATCAATAATATGGGCAAATGAAATTAAAGTGAACAGATTATGAAAAAAAACTAATAGAATGAATATGATATAGATAGAAGTTGAGAAAAAATATTTGCACAACATTTAACACCTCAAAAAACACTCATTATGGATGAATGGAGAATGAGAATCATGCTGACACAAAATATATGATCATGATGATAATGTCATGAAGAAAGTGAAATAAATGTGTTTTAATTTTTCTTTTATGCACAAGGAAAATATAACATCCGAAGAAAATGAAAAAAATGAACCCAATACAGGCCATCAAGATAATATACCATTAATAAAACCAATTATATTCCTAATATAAGTTAAATCTGTGTATAGAAAATCGGGGCATTTACATACATACCACACAATTCTTATGTATTTACATATCTAACACCTAAACTTTCATATTTACATACATAACACTAATTTTAAATATCACATCAAAAATACCACTACTACTAACTTTTTAAAGATGAAGTACAGCTTTTTATGCATAGGCACATGACACTAAAGTGTTATAAATGTGAATATCAAACCTTAGGAGTTAAGATACGTAAATACAAAGAAACTCTATGGTATGTATGTAAATTTCCCTACAAAATAATTCAATGTGCATGTTATCACTGGAGTTAAGCAAAAAGTCTTCGAAACTTAATAGCTCTACGAATACACTTTTATCAACTAAAGATGTCACATCATAAGTGGAATGGAAAGTTCAACTCTCATAACTTCTGAAAGATTCAATTCAATTCTTACTTGGCTCGCTCTAGTGCTAGTTCTGCTTCAAATCGCTCTCTCCAAGCCAAAAAAGTCTCAGTAGTAACAGGTTCCCCGTGCGGAATAATTATCTGGAAACAATTCGCCAAGTACATAATTATAATGTTACTTCTGAAAAAACTCAAACTAAATAATCTCAAATTTGCCCTCAGAGAAACCACGAGTAACGAACAAAAACACAAACAATCAGTTCATTGGCGAATAATTAGCAAAGTTGATTCACCGATCGAACAGCCATACATCATCTTTAGTTGGAGGAGGTTCCTCAACAACCTCATCTAAAACATTTTGCCCATACTTTTCATGCAACCATTCTTTAGCTGAAGTTGCGAGCGTATAAATCATCGCCATACCAAGACTTTCATGAGCCTGCAAAATCTTATAGTACTCAAAAACCGGACTAAAGAGAGAGAACAACATATTGTAGCACTCATGCAATGAACAAGAGAGATTTCTCCTTAAAAAAAAAAAGAAAAGAGCAGGCATCTGAGAGAGTTGAAATCACATAAGTAAACATGATAAAAATCTGCAACAAATTTCATAATTATCTTTCAAAAGAAATGAATGACAACAAGACTAGTTGACATCTTTGAAAAGAATTCAACAGTTATTTATATGAGTTGCAAAGTTGTCAGGCTGAGATGAATCCCGTATGCCAACTTTTCCTTTCCTTTTATACTAGGAAGCTTTATAAACATACCACTCAATTCCTATGTATTTACATATCTAATACCTAAACATTAATTTTTACATACAAGCCACCCTACCTATGCCTGAAAATGTGTATTTTAACTTTTTAAAAGTTAAAATGGTGGTATTTTTGATGTGATAAGAAAGATTTGGGTGGTATAAACGTAAAACAAAAGTTTCCGTGTTAGCTATGTAAATATATAAGAATGGGGTTGTATGAATGTAAATACCCCTTTATACTATTCATTCCGCAATTTATCCAGCTATAGAAATTGCAATTTTTACTGGAGTTTATATAAAGCAAAAACTTTCAAGAAAATTTTACAAGATATGTAATCATAGCTCCAAAAAAAAAAAAAGACCATAAAATACATTGGACCATAAAATACATTGCTCGTTGCCCATCCTTTCGGCAACTGAAAAATCAAAGAATGTAAGATGACTCAGTCCTCCAAAAAAGGACCCGCACTGTATATGTTTTTTCAATTGAGGAAATAAAATTCTTAATTAGAATCTTCAGTAGCAAAGTTCAGTCCATAGATTTTGCTAGGGAGTTCTAAAAAGGACTACTTCATTAAAGGAATTAATATAGAATAGTATGATGGATTTAAGAGGATATAATGACATATCTTGATGATTACATTTTTCTGATGACCATATCAGTGGCTCAAGAAATGTTTACAAAGAGTTGAAATAAGCTGTGAAATTGGATTTCATAAAAAATGACTGCCTTTACAAAATATATAACTAAGAAAAAGAAACATAAAAAATTTCTCATCCAAGGACAAATAAAATTTGTAAGAGAAGAATTATATTAAGGAGCTTCAGTAATTAGATGGAGTTCTTTACTGAACCTAATAGAGATATTAGAGGCATTGGTACTAAAGGATCCGAAAGATAGAACTAATGTGATTTAAAGAATCTTACAATATAGGGTTCCATAATGTAAATCTTGAAAATGGTGACCATAACACACAAAAAAGATCAAAATTTCAAATCCAACAACTCTAAATTAAGCAAAGATTTTCAGCAATTTGGTTAAAAAGGCAAATCAAGTTAAAGCTTGATTTAATTAAAATTCAATGCTTAAAAGAGCTAACTAAAAATTCATGGTCAACTTATACATAATTAATCATGTTAGGAATCTTGTTTACTGACATAAATAAGTCTAATAACTCCATGTAGCTGATTTGATGTTAAATGTGATTTTCCATCGTTTTCAAATCACATCAACGATCTGAAACGGGCTAAATTAAGATTTTGAACTCTAATGAGTTAGATAAGACGTGTTAATACATTCTTAAGGTGACTTCTTTTCTTCTTCATAAGTTAAAACACCATATTAGTGAGATCCCCATACGCCTCAAATTTGACCTAATCATAATAGCCTCGAGCCCACCACTTTCCAAAAATAACTGAGTTTCAATACATGATTCCTCTCAAACTTTGGTATTAATAATTCCATTAAATCAAAAATTTGCATTGATTTCTAAATATTTGTAAACCCTATAGCCATCTCCTCAAGCATATAAAAAAAAAATCACAGTTCCATGTTAGGCAATACTAATTTTCCCTATTCAATGCTTCCAGCCTTTTAACATGAGAACCACGTAATTTGTTTGCATATGGCGACGTCGGAAAAAAATCAATTCTCCTTCTATAGTAAAGAATATGAACAAGACAAATCGAGTTTTTGCATGCAGGAAATACCTGGAAGGTTAATTAATCAAAGACTTTAATTCTAATTAAAAAAAATACTTCTTTCTCATCTCCCTTGTCCTTACTAAAGAATCGGTAAAAAGCCAACGCCATATTTGGCTTGATCAATTTGCTTGGACAAGGTTTTAAAAAAACATTGTCATGATTATACTTGCTGCGTGCCAGAGAATTAGCAGCTACAGAGATACATTAACGTCTTAATGTTGTACTAAAATCTAGCACACATAGATAAGAGAAGATTTGATAAAGAGAATAACAAAAACTTCTGTGAAGAAAACCCGGAAGGGAAACAAGCGCAGGGCCTAATCCAGTTAAAATGGCTCACTATTCAGATGCATGTTATAAGACACCATATGCCTTTAAACAACAACAAAAAAAAGATAAAAAGTGAGTTATCGACTTGACTTTCAGTAGATGAGTGGCGGAAAATATTGGACAAATAACAACCTAACTGGGATGATGGAAGACCAATGATATAAGCTGTGTGGTGATCTGAATTCAACATCACCAACGACAGTGGCAACTAGATAAAAGTGGTTTAACAGTTGTAGTAGCGATAGGCAAGCGACGACGATCTAACTGTGCTGGTTCACCGACGAAGGTCTAACCGTGGCAATGGCGTCAGACTAGCGACATTGTTCTGATGACAGCTGCGGCAACAATCAAGTAATTGTAGTAGTAATAGTTGTGTTAGTAGCAGGTCCGTGGTAAGACAACGGACCAAAGATAGCAATCTGATGACAATAGGGATCGTGAGATGGTGAGCTAACGACAACAACAGTGGTTTGATAACTTCAGCTGCAACGATGATGTCGGTGCGGCAATGGCGGTCTAGTGCCAACAACTACGCCCCAACTAACGGCTAAACGACAGTGGTTTGATGGCGACAACAATCAAGTGACCATTGCAAGAGTAGCACCATTGGCCAGGCAACATTAGTCTTGCAATGGTGGTGTGTCGTGATGACGGTAGTGGTTGCCAGATGACGGTAACCCAACGACATTGAATTGGCAACATTGAATTGGCGACATTGATTTGGCGGCGATAGCAGTCATGTGATAGTAGCGGCCAGGTGACAATGTTGGCCAGATGATGATGGTAACAATAGTGTCAATGACGACAGTCCGACAACAACCATAATGGTCTTGCAACAGTGGCAGCGACGGTCCAATGATCGTGGCAACGTCACTTGGACAATAGCGGTCTGACGACGGCAACTGTTGGGCAAATATGAGCCATGTGTGGTGTAAGTAAAAGTTAATTGAATTAATTTATAATAATAATAATAATAATAATATTTATTTATTAAATAGAAAGTAAGTCAGATTAGATAAAATAAATTTAAAATTAAATAATGAAAATTAATGGTTTATTTAAAACAATAAATTAATTAAATTTCATGTTTATGCTAGGTTTCTAATTTAAAAGAATCAATGTCAAGGACAAACTAATCAACATTGAGGTGAGTACTCCTATTTTTAAATTATAGCATTATTTTGAGGCCTCTTCTAAACCAGTTGGATGAGCTGTTAATTAAGCTTGATTAATGCAATTGATTGTTATATTATTAATTTTTTATCGATAATTTCAATGTGAATGCTTATAATCTCATAATATGAAATAATTAATGCATTATAATTGAGTAATATAAAATTAAGAATGATATGATTTGCATATATTATTTGAATGTGCATTACTGACTATGATGGAGTCGCATCTTGAATTGTACTAGTGAGAGAACACAAATGTACCCGTACATGTATATTGAAAATGATATGTATTGAAGTACCTTAAGTATTACAAATTTTTAGACGGTGCTCCTGTGACATTTGTATAGAAATGATATTGATATGAATTTGACATAGGCTCTTCGAATAACATGTTAAATGTTTAAATTGATTTATAAAGAAGCTTAACTGACATGCATATTATTATTTTTTTTTACGTATATTGTTGTAGTTTAGGAGTATGAGTATTTCTCAACTCGTTTAGCTCATTATTATTTCAAACTAACTTTTCAGGTTAATTAAGCGATAGAAGGGAAAACGTTTACAAAAGACACTGACAGCCAGTAACAAGGTAATATAAATTATACGGCTTTAATTTAATTTGTTTAGTGGTTCTTTCACCTGTTAAATTATAAATGAATATAGAAAATTTAATTTCACACCGCCCGGTCATCCGTTTCTGCCTTGGTTGGTTCCAAGCACCGGGTCAGATCGTGACAAAAGCGGTATCTGAGCAAAAACATTAGGATTAATTAATAAAATTTCGATAAAAGAGCCTATATAATAATTATAAGAAAGTTCAAATATTTATAAAAATTAAAGTTAACTCAAATTAATAATTATTATCCATTCAGGCACAGTGATACACCTGAAATCATAGAAGAATAGAATCTGATAGAAAACGAAGAAGTACAACCTAATATAAATGTGAACACGAATGTATTGACCCAAATGATGGCGGCGATGATTTAGCTGATTCAGGACTCCATATCGCAGTCTATCGAAAGTGATAGTCATTGTAGATAAGTACTTGAAAATATTTCAAAATCTGCGTCCACATTTGTTCAAGAGAATTGAAGACCTAATTGAAGCGGATAATAGGCTAGTAAGAATATAGAAGATACTAGATAGCTTGACTTATCCAACTGAAAGAAGAATACTGTTGACAAAATTTGTGTTGGATGGAGAATCCAAAAGGTGGTGGCGTGGGCAGCATCAGGACAGGTTATGTGACATAACAAACACGATGATAAGTTGGGGAGAGTTCGTATACCTTTTTAGAGAGTGGTCATACATACCACTATCCACTCGATGACAGAAGCAAAACAAGTTCATCAAGTTAAGGAAAGGAGAGAAGACGGGCATACAGTACAAAGCATAATTAACTGCCCTATTGAGATATGCGCCACAGTTGATCGCTACTGTAGAAGAAAAATGCAACAGATACCTTTC